CAACAAGAATTTGAAGATGCAGAAAAATTGAGATGTAAAGATCAGGTTGATCAAAAATTAATGCAATGGAAGGGAGGAAAAGAAACAAACATTAGAGCATTAATTAGTAGTTTGGATACAGTACTTTGGGAAGGATTAGGCTGGAAAACTATAGGCTTGCATGAACTGGTAACTCCTGCTCAAGTTAAAATTAAGTGCATGAAAGCTATTGGAAAAGTTCATCCAGATAAGGTTGGTTATATAATCAATATTAGTTTTATTAAAACTATATTAAACAATATTAATATTTGTTATTAATTGATTTATTTAGCTTAGTAGTTCAGCTACAATTGAACAAAGACTTGTAGCAAATGGAGTATTTTCAACTTTAAATGATGCGTGGGATGTATTGAGATTTTAAGTCTACGTTAACTCCTGGTGGTGGTGGTAATGTATAATCACCTATTAATTGAAGAGCTAGAATGCAATCCTCAACACATCCTCGTTGATCACCGTTCTTGGACTTTGCGGTCGCTCTATTATTATAAAGCACAACAAGTTGTATATGCTTTGAGGGTAAACAATCAATTGCGAGAGAATAAGATTTTTCAGCTTCACCAAATTGACCAAGTTTGAATGCATCATTCCCTTTGGTTTTGTGAGATTCCGAATTACGTATTTGTTCTGGAGATACATGAACTGTTGGTCGAGGAGTTGGTATAATTTTAGGAGTATTATGCGTTGATGATGATGAACTTGTATGGGGTCGTCGTCGAGCAGGTGATACATAAGATGAATTATTAAAGTCTATATTTGGCTTTGTAGATCTCGAGGGGACTGCAGGTTTTGATTTTTTTGAATCAACAATATCGAAATTAGACAGACGATTAACTTTGTCGTTCTTTCTAAAGTCCGAAGATATTGGAGCAAATTTATCTTTATCAATGACTGGTTGATCCTCATCACTACTGCTAGTATCTTCATAACTATCTTGAAATTTTTCTAATCGACCATACTTATCTCCATTCCTAGTACCAAATTTATTTAAATTACCAATATTTTCACTACTAGTATTATCACAGCTACTAGCAATTTTTTGAAATACTCTATGCTTATCATTAGCTTTTTCACCTCGAGAATTACTATATTTTTCGTTTGAATAATCATCAGATTCTTGAAATTCATTTTCTTGCAACCATCTTGGCCTTCTTGTATCCTCATCTTCTGAATCATGTTGCAGTTGAAGTTCCACTAATGCTTTATTTACTCTATCTCTTGACTGCTTATACAATGCACTTGCTTTTTTTAATGCTGTCAATCCAAATTCACTTGCAGAGCTAATTAACTTTTCTTTCGATTGATAAAAGCTTGAAGTTGAAGAAGAAGATCGATCACTACTTTCACCATCTGAAGTATTCTTTCCGTAAATGTTACGTTTTGGTACACTAAAAGGACTACTCTTAGATGAATAACGTCCACGAGGTGTAAACCTTGGCTCGCTATCATCATCATAATCACCATCGTCTTCATGGTGCGGAAGG